CCTCTATTACACACTGTTGTCGAGTTTAATGACAGGGGTGTGATTCCAATGGATTTTTCCGGATTTGCGGAATTTTAAAAAATCTGGTGTTGGTTTTGCAGATTTTTTGGTTTAATACTTTTGTTGGAATTATTTACAAAATAAGGTTCATGTGAGACTTGGTAAAGTCTACTTCCGTCGATCAAGAAGTACACAAAATTATACTCCCTCTGAAATACTATGGAATGCACATTGGGTGAGTGGGTTAGTGGTAGTAAAAGTAATGGCAGAGTTGGGCGTATCATGTATTCTCACTTATGTACGGGAATGTGTGCAGCGGGCCAGAACATAAGTGTAAAACAATCAACAACAAATGGCATGTATTGTGCAGGTGCTACACAAGCAGCAAAACATGGATGTTGTGTGGAGTTGTGTACATACGTAGGCCTACATGTGCTGGATTCTGTGTGGCTTTCTACCGCAAATCGGTTGATTTTGGGGATGTTTCACAAGATTGTCAATCATTTAACATAAAGGTATATCAAATAATTGACTAAGATGAGGGCCTATCTGTTGATAAAGGCGCCAAAAATCCATGGAGATTTTTACGGTGGGAGACGAAGATGGATTGTGAACTTAACATCATGGTGAAGGGGAGACGATACACAAAGATTTCCTCGTAAAGATTGATAAGTTTGGCCACTTAATATGCTTGTACTAGTTGGAGGCTTAAAGGACATAGTATGTTGGAACTGTTCATGAATGTATTGGCTAATAATTTGAATTACTTTTGAAACATGGAACAAATTCCAAACTGCCGCAAATTGCTTGCTGTGTCCCAATCTTTCTTTAACTTAGAGCAAAAAAGTCGTACATGGAACTCCATAGTAATGTCGTACGTGTACATATTCAATACCATGTGTGACCAGTCAATTTTTCTAGTCACCTGGTCCGTCTACTTTTCAACACTCCTTATTCACTTTCAGACTACAGAATTCTTCTTTCTATACATGTACCCGGTACCTCAAGAACAGACTTCCACTATTTAACATGATTAGATGCAACCTTGTGTTGTAGAGTGCTCTCTCTTCAGCCTTCACTTTACACACCTGGTAAAAATAGCTATCAACAATACTGTGTGGTGCACTCTGTGACTTTCTAGTATTGAGTAGCGCATTTGCATATCTACAGAGCCATACATGTGCAGGCCAGCATCTGACAATAGTGATCTGAATAGAGTATTGTTTCTGCCCTGCATTTGTTCACTGGTATGTTGGCTTGGGCGGTACTTCGGTATTACCGAATACCGCGGTTTTGATTTTAATACCGAACAATACCGACTAACAATCCATGAATACCGGAATACCGACTTATTCAGCATTGAATTTCAACACCGCGGTATTCTGGCTAATTTGTTCAGAATGTTCCCACAACCCTCATAAGATGAAAGCAGACAATTATATCCACAACAGTGACTGCATACTTTGTGGTTTCAGTCATCCAGCATCCCATTTGTGTTGTGCTTTTTGGTGAAGAGATAAGACGTAACATAACGTGATACTTCAGCATGCAGCCATCAACCTGCCTGTCAAAAGGTTTTGTTTCCCTATCACCGCTGTCAAGTTTTCAGTTTTGGAATAGCTTGTAGGCAGTGCTTCTTGTATTACTCGTTGGCACATGTATACATGTACATGTATCACAGCCCTACAGGTTGGGAATTAAAAAATCAGCTGGTCTTCGGTGTCCGCACTGGACTTTATTTTCCGAAGATTTTTATTGGCGGATCAGAAAATGCTAATGCTGCTTGTCCTAGCCTTGTGCTCTCTTTGGGTCTTTTTTGTCCTTTGTATACAACATGTACAAGGATTGTGTGAAAATCTTTCTAACCGAAGCCAGGAATGTGTGTTATAAACTATAAAATGATTCCATAAATCTGCATCTGTGCAACATCCATGGCAATCAGTGATCTTTTTTTATTCTCACATTTGTTCCAACCTCATGAAAAGAGAAGCAAAAACCCGATTCTTCACTTGTCACTGCTTGTATTTCAGTTTTTCTGGAATATAAAATTAGGACAACGTGGTTGATCAAAAAGATGTCTCGGTTATGATTAATCAAATACCTTGTGATGTGTTTAGAATAATAAACTTCACTGTCATAGGACATGTTTAATGTGCGTGTGAAATTTTAAAAAGCAAATGCATGTGAAAGCATCGATTTTTAAAAGACTTTCAATCGCTATGGATGATGACGAAGCCAACAGTAACTAACCTGCATGCACATGTAGGCCTGGATGTACCTACAAGAATTTGAAGGCTCATCAACTAAAGCCCCCATCCATGTAAGTAGTCTTTCCAACACAAACTGTGTCACGGAGAGACATTTTTTGTTTAATTTTTTGCCTCTCTTTTGATTTTTGACACAAGCTGCATGACTGGATTGATTGGTAGTCCGAGATCACTCGCCCACTGCAGCGCGGTCGCCCGTGCGCAAGATGATTGCTGAAGAAGCAGAATGTCATGAACGAGTACTGCGATTGGATAGCTGTGTCTTGCCAAATGTACGTCATGAAAGCGCACAGTCTCATTGGCGGGCACGCTAGATCTCTTTGCAGCAATATGAATAATTTAGTGTTGGGCGATTAGTTGGACTCTTGAGATACAAGAATAGTCATGCGAACTTATTTGGGGCGTATTTTATCGGAAATGGGATGGGAATTTTTGTTTTAGCATTTGTGTAATGAATGTAAAATATCATGGATGATATCATCGTGCACAACGAGTGTCATGACGACAGGAATCTGGCATCCGAGGACTGTATATCGCGTTGCGTGCGATAAGCCTTGTGTTGCACGACTGGACATTTTGTGGAAGCACGCTTGCTTGAGTACAAGCAGCACAACTTCAAATTAAATTCATCAACACAGAAAACACAAACATAGACATGAGATCTTTTTTGTGAATAAACCTGCAGAAAAATTTGTGACGGCAGTGTTTTTTGACTTGCAACTATAGAGCTGCATTCAATGTAGTGGAACGTACGACCCTTTTTTGGCAGAATCTGTACATTGACTGCTTGCCACATTTCCATCATGCTTTCATTGGCAACGGTTCTGCCCGGCGGCAACCAGTGTGGTGCACCGCACACATGTTTTCAACACCGCGATTTGCAAACGCTTTATGAATGGGTCGCCAAGAATTGGTTTTTCAGGCAACGGAGTCACAAAAAGCTTTCGTTGTACCAGGAATTTCGTACAATGCTACTTCGCTGTAACACATTTTCTCCCCATAGAAATATGCACATTTTCACCGGACTACAGATTTGTGCTTGTTGTAATTGGAATTTCGTCACAACCGATTTCGTAATAAGAGTCGACTGCCGCGTCGCAGAGTTTTCTGAAAGCCACCTTACCATTGCACACGCGCAGTGTTAGGGCGCAACTAAAAGGAGCAGCCACTGGTGACCCGCACGTAATCATTACAATATCGTACTCTCAGCGAGTACCAACTTGACTGCAGCACATGTGCAGATTTTGACACCGTATGAGCATGGAGGAATAAAACATGTACGAGTGACCACACAGATATAGGAATTGCGGAGTAACAAATCGGTATTAAAATCGCCGTCCCTTTTTTAAGAAAAAATTTTTATTTGACATCAACTAGACAGATAAATTATAATAGTTATTAAGTTTAGGGGGTTTTGTGTCGTTAAAAACCCTTTTCATGCTGGCCCCAAGTGTTGTTTGTGGTTTGCCTTTGAATGCCAGCATCGCCGCTGCTTTTTGATGTAGTCATTGCCTTCTGCAACGAATACCCCGGTATTAGTAAATTCCGCGGTATTTTTTCATGGATACCGTGGTATCAAAAAAGGCAATACCGCCCAAGCCTACTGGTATGAAAAGCTTTTGTGATCCACCCCACCCTCTGGAGTGGGCAGAAACATAGTAATCAGATCACTCTGCTT